CATGCGACACTTGGCGCCCCATAGTTCAGAAGGCGAACGCTAGCGAGCGCTAGCGAGCGTTCGCTCTCCTGAACACGCCTCTGTTGCGGCCCTGCGCCGCGAAGCAGACTTTTCCGTTTTATAGATGGCGCTGATTTTCTAACATGGCGCCGAAGTTTAAACATTGGTAGAAACTTTTTTCTGCTTTATTTGTTGTCAACATATGCTAAACCTGTCAACAAATGCTACATTAAGTACTTAGACTGTCTGGTTGACTTGTCTTAGTGTGTAGTCTAGAATCTTCGTCGTACACATCTAATATGGGTAATGTAACTTACTGATTTGTTCATAAAATACAGTAACAATGTCAATGTCAGACTCAATAATGACAATATTAATATTATATTGACAATAACAATAACATTAACAATTAAGTTACATTGTCAAACCGCCCCCTCCACAAGCACTTGGAACGTCTCAATAAAAAAAGAAGGTAAATAAACACGAAATGTATTTACTACAAAGTTTCTCTACTCTATTTCGCCTATAATCACCTGTAAATGCCGGTCAAAAGCTCATCTGCAACACACAACAAGTACACCGCACGCACAGGAACTTGGCGTCTCAATAAAAAAAAAGGTAAATAAACACGAAATGTATTTACTACCAAAGTCTTAATGTTTTTCTACTCTATTTCGCCTATAATCACATGTAAATGCCGGTCAAATGCTCATCTGCAACACACAAGTACACCGCACGCCCGCCTTGTGCACAAACGACATGAATAAGAGAGAAGAGATCTATATATATATATATAGAGAGGGAGGATATGGCTCTCTTATTCATGTTGTTTGTGCACAGGGCGGGCGTGCGGTGTACTTGTGTGTTGCAGATGAGCATTTACAGGTGATTATAGGCGAAATAGAGTAGAGAAACATTAAACGCTAATTTCTCCAGTACTAGACTAGCAAATACTTCGTGTCATGTATAATCATACTACCTTATGACAAAATAAACTCTAGTTCCTCCTATTTCACTGCACGTTGTCTTATAAAAGGTATTTGAAAATACCTCCAATGTTGTTCAAATTCTCCAATGTTGTTGACACGTTCGCGTTGCTCTGCCAAGCAACCGTACAGCGGGTGCAACCCGTAGCAAAAAAAACCCCATGTGACATCCCCTAATCGATTCGGGGCTAAATTGTTTGGCAAACAATTCGGCGTTGGCGCCAGATTGCCAGATTTCGCACCTCTTTCTTGTAGGTTTTAAGCAAACGCGCAGTGAAAATGGGAGGAACTAGAGTTTATTTTGTCATAAGGTAGTGTGATTATGCATGACACGAAGTATTTGCTAGTCTAGTACTGGAGAAATTAGCTTTTGGATGCGCAGATTGCGGCTTTAAGACTGGTATTAATACATTTCGTGTTATTTACCTTTTTTTTTTTATTGAGACGTTCCAAGTGCCTGTGACCGCACGCCCGCACGGCGCCCTGTGGGGGAGCTCTAGGGGGGGTTTCCCCCCTCGTCAAAGGGGGGTTTGGGGGTCCTCCCACAATAAATTTTTAAAATTTAAGACACCAATATGCTTTTTTAGAGCTTAAAAATACTTTTCAAAACTCTAACAAATATATATTTATACTTCAGTATAGGCATAATTATTTCGGCATCTGCCAATTTACATGTCAAATTTTTGTTTTCCGTTACGGAATGCCGTATTCTATATTTATAATTAATATTACATTGATTTTAACAATTTTACATACCTTGGTCGCTTTCAAAAAATAATTCAGAATTGACATGATGAACTTTGTAACTTTGAACTTGTAATGTCTAGGATGATCTCGATCAAACGCTTGAGCGGACATTTAAACAATGGCGCTCACAATGGCCGAGCAGCAGACGATCGTTTCTGGTACAGTATCAGCTAGTGATGTCCCGATGATCGATTATAATCGAAAATCGATCGATTATAGTTTCAAATTCGATAATCGATTATGAAAACAAATAATCGATTATCGGAAATACCAAAACAAACAAACAAGGAACTGTACTCACGATGTCGTGAATTGATATGACAAGTAGAGCACAAGTCTTGTCAGTCCTTGTGCTTTTAAGAATAACACAATACAGAGCCTACAGACGAAACACGTCTACCGACGAAGTACAAGTAGTTATCCTCCGCCACGCAGTGTCGCGAGGAGAATTGTTTTCGTGGCCGTTTCGCGTTTCGTGTATGTGGCGGACGGGTGTATGCTGTGTGTCTGTCCTCTCGGTATCTTTGCAACCGTAAGAGGTAGAAACTTCAAACTTGGTCCACAGCTGCATCTTTATGGGGGCGAGAGACCCTATTGATTCTGAGCCATTTCCATCCGAAGGTCAAGGTCGAGGGTCATTAACTATATTTCGAACACTGATACGTACGTATCCAGAGCTGCGCTGTGTTATGATATCGATTTATTCCAGCCAGCCGCCCTACAATGCCTGGACCAATGACGAATGCTAACCGTCCACGAACACAAACAGAAACTAGAACAGAAACGACACGCGCATGTGCGCTTTATATGCAGACTTGAATTATATTTTATGCGCAAAGTTATCTCGCATACGAGACCCAAATAGCCGTATAGCATGCATACATCGCATCACACCATATTTCCCCGAAACCCCCTAGTTTGCCTCGTGCCCTGTGGGCACTCGGATGCAAATCACACACCTCGGCAAGCCAAGGTGTTGATTTTTCACTCGCCTGCCTTTTCCAAAACACAAGGACTGCTTGATCATGTTTGTTTAAAACTTTTAATGTGTTTAATAACGGCATTTAAACCATTCTTTTTGAAATTAATTAAATACTGTATAGGAACAGACATTGATATACATACAGCAACCTTCACAGAGTTAATACATGATCATAAAACATGATAATATTGAATTGCTATGTATAATTGTATAGTACAAAGTAAGATTAAATTAAATCTATGCTATTATTAAACGATTATCCGATTATAATCGATTATCGATCGGTTAAGGGAAACCGATAATCGATTATGAAATTCCAGCCGATTCCCATCACTAGTATCAGCAATTAACTTTAGAGATCAACACATGTCTTCTTATAAACATTCTTCAGTTTATTACCGGTACTATAGTCATGTAGTACTTAGTATATATGCGTGTGTACATAAACTATATGTGATTTCAGATCATTATATGCTCGGGATTGCAATAATTGTAGATCCCGCCTGTGCATAACGAAAATGTGTGCTTGAAAAGCACCGCTCAACGGCTTCTCTCCAAACTTGGTCGGAACAATCTACAGATCATGACACGTTGCATCGGCTATTTTTTTTCCCAGTTTCATTTTTTCCACATTCCACGTTCAAAAACATTAAAATAGTGGGACATTTTTGCATCGCAACGTCACAACAACACGAAAACACGACGCCACCTATCGGATCTTATATGTGTTAATATTTTCCATTTTTTTATTTATTTATTTATTTTTAGTTTTGACCACCTAACGGGGATGGACGGGTATGGCTAGTAACTATAATACTAATAAACTAATAATACTAGTAATACTAATACGAAGAGTAATAGTGTTCGCGTATTTATAACCTTAATCATTAATTATGACGTGAATCACACTGAATGTCCGTAATAATATAATAAATAAATATAATATAATATTAATAATAATGATTATGTCCGTCTTGGACATAAGCTTCAGTATGGGGAAGGCAGTCAGGATTTGGCAGAAATAGATGTAGAAGGATCAATGTGAATGACAACGTTATATCTTAGCCACAAATGAAAATGTAGCCTCTGATATTATCTGGTAGCATGTGTGCTATCTTCTAAATTTTTAAATGGCTGCATCACGCATATAATGACATAATGTATGACTAATTAGTTATGTATTATAAAATTATTTGTCAAGTTAGCTTGTGTATTGAAATAGCCAAGTGCTGTCATTTCTGTATTGCATTTTGCAGTGGCAGTGGTAGCCCTTGTTGTATACTTCAGCTAATTGATGCTTTGTATTTGGTAGAAGTGTCAATAACAAGTTGCTAATACATGATGGAGCGGCAAGCTGGTACTGGCAGTGACTCAACTAATATAGAGTGGAGATCATCGGTGTTGCATCCACTCAGCAGCACTGTTCATCAGAATAGAGCCAAGGCTGTGAATGGCACAAGCTCTGTATTACAACTAGGAGATCTATCTTCTATCTTACATGAAGATCAGGAAGTAATGATAGCAGCTATATCACCGACGTCATCAAAGCAAGCCGAGCTTGGATTAGCAACAAACGAGAATGTAGAGGACACTGCATCTCAACAGGAACTTCATTTTATTGCATTTCGACACAGTGATGTAGAACTCTCTGAATGGGCGGAACATCAAAATAGCAAGAAGTTGCTCAATTTCGCAAAAGCCTTACAACCCAGCGATAGACTAGTGAGCGTAGCTGATGCCTCGCAGCACCCCACTATACAACTTTCGCACACGAGCTTTGATACGACTGCCCATCAGTTGCTGGACATGGAGCAGTCTGTCTCCCAGCATGCAACACTGTATTTGGAACACCCTACCTTTGAACAGAGTGCACAGCAGTACTATCACCATAGCAGTGAACAACTGCCCACTGAGCACTCGATTGGAGAGCAAGATGATGTTCCACAATCCATTACTACTCGATGTGGCAAAGATTTGCAGCTGTCGGATCCTCAGCAGGTAAAAAAAAAGTTCACACTTATATATACATTCACACGCATGTACGCACGCATGCACACATGATTTATTGTTTGCATCAACCCATCATGGCTACAAATACAAGTCACAAATGCTTACAATTGACCTATTTTCAAAGGGCTTACCTACCAGAATTCAAGGTTAACATGTGGATAATAATAAAAAAATTTTGGGTGCCCTACTGGCAACATAATCTTACTACAGTACTATGTTATTTGCAGGGTATATGATGTGTGATCATGGTATGTGCAGCAAAATGTTTATAGCTGCCTACTGTACTCTACTACGATATACATAGTGGCTAACTCCCTGGATCCCGAGTTACTAAAACCAAGAGAGTGACAAATGCTATTATTTTTAAAACAGTTTCTATTTTAATGTAAAAAGGCTAGAAGTCACGTATATGTGTGTGTGTGCGTGTGCGTGTGCGTGTGCATGCGTGCGTGCACGTGGGCGTGCGTGCATTCGTGCGTGCGTGTGTTCACATGTGTAATGTTCCGTAGAATTATTTGATTGCTTTTTTGAGGCAGTGCAAATCTCTGAGGCTGAAAAATGACTGATAATTATTTTATTGAGCATATAATTGTTAATAATGTGATCACTTTTATTATTTAGTCCCATGTCACCCATGTTAATTTACAATATGCATTTAAAAATCTTGTTAAACCATCTCCTACATTGCTATTTACATAACTACCTAAAAGTGGCAATCAACAAACCACATGCATTCCTAATACTATGTTGTGGAGCTACTGACCCAGGAACGATCAGTATTCAGTACCCTTGCATGTGCACCCTGATACGTTTTGTGCTGAATTAATTTAACTCTGTACTGCAAATCTGTAGACACTCCGAGTCCATGTTTGCAGCATAAGTTTTATCAATCAACCTTACAGGAATAACAAGTGACAAGTGTAGATGAGTCAGTATATAATATTACAGACCTATGCACGTCAAAGTATTTAGCAGTTTTTCAACTTATCAATCATACCGACACTTTAATTGTTTCCTAGTATTAATAGCAAAAGTTCTTCCGATATTATCTGAATTGTGAAAGCAGAACAAAAGGGCAAAAAACTCAAGGAATTCGCATGTAGTCATTCCTATTGAATATATACATTACTTTGAACAGCATAAGTGTAACTTTTAAAATGTTATATATTTGGCAGGTCTTCCTGAACACATATTTAACGTAAAAGTATAGTAAAAATGTAAGTAGTGCATTCTAGCTAAATATATATATATATATATGAATCATTGTGCAGTTTTAAGATTTGATATTAATCAAATTGGAGAAGTTGTTAAATAAGTAGGTAATCCAGGACAGATATGGAAGCATAGATTTGCAGTGGAGTAATTAGTGAATTATGTGATTAGTGGATAGGTGTAAACCCTGCTTCTCTTCGATTTCCTTTATATATATGAAAAGCATGTGGCTATGCGGTAGACAAATATGTAATTAAATCCATGTACGTTGTAAAGTGTGTCAATGAATATTTGATGTGAGTGATAATTAATGATTAATGTGCACTTGCGCATTTTGCACATCCTGCGTGTGTAGACCCCCCACCCCACTCCTCACTGCGTACTGTTCTCCATGATTCATGCTAGCAAGAGCAATTTACACGTAGCGTCATATAACGTGGTCGCGGACCGTGAAGTTGGAGGGTTGCAGGCTGTCCGATTTGCGTCCGAACAAAGGCAGGTGCAACAGCTGCAGTAGGTGAAGTTCACAGCTCGCGGGCGAGGGGTCGTCGGTACAGGTGTTTTGTGTGACCGTTATTTGGACGTACCTGCGTATACAGGTGGACACAGAGTGCATTGATCACATTCAAAGCAGGGAAAAAAGTACTTTTTTTCACGGGAGCTCTTTTTCAAAAGTCTGTGGAAAAAATAGCTCTCGTCAAAAATTTTACGGAAGCTATTTTGAGTCTCACGAGAGCTATTTCGGAGGTTTGAAGAGCGAATCGCTCATCGCTCCCGTGTATTTTTTACCCTGATTCAAAGGCTTGTGTAACAAACGGCATGTATCGTGTTACTTTTCTGGGTGTTAGCTGATTTAGATTGTGCCAATTGGGCATAGAGGCAGTGTGCATTCCATGTGTTTTAAAAGTTATCATTGCCACCAAATTTGTGCTAATCTTGTTATTATTTTGTAAACTTTTCAGGTATCGGACGTGGATTTCAAGAACAGTTACAGTGCGAGTTTGACAAACAATCTTCCTCATGGAATTGCTGAATCAGAAGAGTATAGAGGTGGATAAACCTGATAAAGCATTGCTATAGTATACATACAGTTAAACCTGTAAATAGTGGTAACTTAAGGACAACTCCCAATGTGTCTTTTACAGACATACATGTACATACATCTTCATACATGTATACATGTATCTTCTATAAAGGTGGTTTCACTATATAACTCTCACTTGATGGAAATGTTAAGTGTCTATTCTACAGAGGGGACCGTAGACATAGAACCAGTATGCAGGTATTTCTAAGAGTAATATGCAGCCAAGCTATGGAGTTAGTATAGTGCAAAGCTAGAATGCAGCTAAGCAATAAAGTATAGAGTAAAGCTAGTGTAACCATAAAAAATGGCAGCTAAAGAGGAACTAGCAAAGAGCTGATTGTTAAATACAATAGGTTTGTTAGCAATTGGTGTTATTTAGAAAGAAACTTGGTTATTTACTTTTGTCCTAGCAAATCTAATGAATAATTAACAATGAAACACCTTTAGCAGGCATGTGTGAACCAGTACAGTTACTGTCTGTAATTTGTGCATGTTCCCTTTGCTCTGGCTCTCATTTAGAGAATGATCTCATATAGATCAACCTTTTAACTGGGACTTGGACTTGGCCTTCTGGCAAAGGCCACTTAACTTGTTTTATAAAAAACTGGTATGATTTTTCTAGGCAGAACAGATAATTACTGTTTATCAAGCGAAGTTGCTAGTCTTCCAGAGCTTTCTGGCATGTAATATGCTTGGCCACTCACATGAGTAAATGTTAGGTTGGGTGCAGGTAGACTTTTGTGATCACGTAACATAAAGAAAAACATGGAAAATTGTTGCATATATGCTACGGTTGTTCTGCCATGATTGATAAACGGAAATACAAAAACAGCCAGATATTTTATTCAACGAGTAATTAGATTGAGCTATGTTATGGTGGTGTAATTTCACTTTCCATTCGAAGGGGCCATTCATAAAGCCTATCCAATCAGGCGGTTGAAATGTCGCAGGAAAGGACCAGTGATGGGCAGTCATTACAGACTGGCTGTTTTACACATATGCTGTTCTGTATGTTTATAGATCACAGATCTGACGATGCATCACTCTCGTCTGAGAGCAGTAACGCAGCACGTGCAGATATTTATAAGGTAAGGCATGGTCACAGGAAGCATAGTCATAGGATGTTGTGGTTATGGTTGGTGGCATGTTGGAAAGATCCTTTCTCCTCATTCCTATCTTGCATTTTGAATTCGATTATTTATCGATAATTCTGTTTTCATATTGGAATTAATTATTAGTCTGTGAGCAGCTGCCTGGTCAAAAACTTCGTGCCGTTCAAGTTGGTTTGTTCTATCATCGCAGACTTTTCATTTTACCCGTGCTCACATGCGATATACGTGTTACAGAGGCAACAAGCAGATCAAGCTGCCCCTGCTTCAACTCTAGGAGGACCCTCTCTGGAGGAATCCACGCGATCACATGACGACCACGAGCAGACAACACCTGGTATGTCGGACGGAGAGCCAGATCGCCGCCGGTCAGTACACTCGCAAAGTGGCGAGACGCTGAAGGTTAATACGGCCGAAAGGGCGCCACCGGCCAGCCTCGGCGACGACAGCGCATTTCCCCGCTGCGACGAGAATGGCGTTTCACGCGCGTCGCCGCGAGCGACCGTAGCGAGCAACGTGTCCGGCTACCACTCCGCCGACCGATCGAGTCGTCGGTCGGACGCGACGCCGACCGATAAGCCGAGTGCGGACCTCGCTAAGCCGCACAGCGAACTCGCCGACGCACTTGTGTCTAGGTCGCGCGAGGTTGCCGCATGGCCGATGGCGGCCGTGGCAACGCGCAAGCAACCGCCAGAGGGAGCTGCGATGGATGGCGACTGGAACAACCACGCGTCGACGAGCGAGGCCTTGGCGGACGAGACGGTTGTGCGGCGCACGCGGCGCCCCCTGTCTGCGGAGTCGTCGTCGTCGTCCGTGGGCACTGTCGACTCTCTGACCGTGCGCGTGGCGCTGCTGCTGGGTGAGGATGCGTCCGATCTTGTGGGAAGCAGCAGCAGCCGGACAGGCACGCGCGCGTCACGCAGCGCTGACGACGGCAGTGCGAGTGCGGTGCCCTCTGGTGACGGCGACCGCGCGTCGTCAACGCTGAGCGAAGCGTCGTCGTCGGGCCGCCCCGCCGTGCGGCGTCGCGCGGCCGGCAGTGACGCACCGCTGACCGACCGCAGCACGATGACCGACTGGTCACTGCCCAGCTTCACGACCGCGACGACGGCAGAGTCGCCGCGCCAAGCCGATCCATCCGACGGCGAGCGGGGGCGCGCCCGCCGCCACCCACCAGAGGGCGCCTCTAGGGACGCCGGCACAATGGGGTTAGCGTCGAATGGCTACCTGCAGCCATCTCCGTCCGCGTTGCCACGTCGACGTTACCGTGGCAGCAGATTATCGTCGTCGCAGAGCAGTAGCGCTGATGGGAGTAGCGACAGCGGCCGCTTGGGAGTGAACGGCGTGAGGGGGAACGTGAGCAGCGACAGCGAAGATCCCCTGCGGAAGTACCTGCAGCCGTCGCCCCGCGTAGCCACCGCCGCGCCGTTCAGCGACAGCGGAGGAGAGGTGTCGCGCGATTACGGAGAGGATTCGAGCGGTGCCGGCGCGGCGGGCGTGCGAGACAGCAGCCTTGACCAGTACCTCGGCCCGTCGCCGCTGCCGCCGCCCTCCGTTGACGTCATTGAGCCGACGATGTATGACGAGACGGATGCCGGACCGGATGGATCGCCCGTGGTTATTTCACGCTATCTGAGCTCGCCACCATCGGAGGTGCTCAACGTGTGGGTGCGGTCGGGTGGCCGTGAAGAGGGTTTGCCATCTGAAGAGGGGTTCGCCGTCTCAAAGTCTCGTAGTCTCAACCCGCGCGAGTCTCGCAGTCTCAACCCACGCGAGTCTCGCAGTCTCGGCCCACGCGAGTCTCACAGTCTCGGCCCGCGCGAGTCTCACAGTCTCGGCCCGCGCGAGTCTCACAGTCTCGGCCCGCGTGAGTCTCGCAGCCTCACCCAGCGCGAGTCTCGCAGTCTCAACCCGCCCGAGTCTCGCAGCCTCAAACCGCGCAAGTCTCGCAGTCTCAACCCGCGCGAGTCTCACAGTCTCGGCCCGCGCGAGTCACACAGCCTCAGCAACATCCGTCCGACGTACGCCCCGTCTGTCTCGCCCCGGCTCTCCGAGATCGATGATGCCGACCTGTCGCAGTACCTTCGTCCGTCGCCGCGCCCCGCAGACAATGCCACCGGCGCATCACGTCTCGAGATGTCGACCGACGAGAGCATCGAGTACAGCCTGTCGGCCAACGACCAGGACACGACTCTGCCCACGTTGCCTCAGCCGGCAGGGGTAGCCACACACGCGGCGGCGGCGGCGGCGGCGCCGGCGCGTGACATCGTGCTGCGCAACGCAGAAGCCTCACACTGGTGCGTGTCGGCCGAGGAGTTGAGGCAACGATGCGAGGTGTGCGGAGGCGTGCGCGGCGCGTCTCCACACACCTGCCCCGATGCCGACCAATGCACATCGGCGTCGAATGCGGGAGTTGCTCGCGGGTCCCCTGATTCAGATGTCGTACATTGGTGTGTGTCGGAAGATCAGCTGAAGTATCGCTGTAAGGTATGTCATGGCGTCCGTGGCAAGTCTCCGCATACGTGTCCCATTCATGACGCACAGAGCTCCGAGTCCAGCACGGAAATGTCCGCTGCATCTAGCACAGAAGAGTGAGGTTGTTAGAGAAGCCCCGCGAAACACAGATATCTCGTTTGCACGAAGTGTGGTGGAATGCGCGGTGGGTCACGCATACGTCCCTGTTCACTCTGACAACCTCCGATGTCAATGGATTCTACAGCAAAGCAAGCAGAAATGAACCAAAGGGTGCCCTGATTCAGATGTCGTGGCATTTGGTGGTGTGTCGGGAAATCAGCTGAAGTATCGCTGTAAAGGTCTTGTGCATAGGCGTCCTGTGGACAAGTACTTCGCACACGTGTCGCCAATTCATGATGGGCGACCCACAGAAAGCTCCGAGTCCAGCACGGAAATGTCCGCATCAGCCACAGAAGAGGAGGTTGTTAACGGAAGCCCCGCGAAACAGCAGATATCTCGTTGCACGAAGTGTGGTGGAATGCGCGGTGGGTCACCGCATACGTGCCCTGTTCACTCTGACAACCCTCCGATGTATGATTCTACCGCAAGAGCAGAAATGAACCAAGGGTCCCCTGATTCAGATGTCGTGCATTGGTGTGTGTCGGAAGATCAGCTGAAGTATCGCTGTAAGGTTTGTCATGGCGTCCGTGGCAAGTCTCCGCACACGTGTCCCATTCATGATGGCGACCCACAGAGCTCCGAGTCCAGCACGGAAATGTCCGCATCGGCCACAGAAGAGAGGTGTAATGGAGGCCCCGCGAAACAGCAGACGCATCACTGTGAGAAATGTGGGGGGAGTGCGCGGTATGTCCCCACACGCCTGTCCCGTTCACCCTGAAAACCCACAGAAGTCGGACTCTGCAGTACGTATATCTCAAGGGTCCCCGGATTCGGACGTCGTGCACTGGTGCGTTTCAGCCGATCAGCTCAAGTATCGCTGTAAGATGTGCCACGGCGTTCGCGGCAAGTCGCCGCACACGTGCACCGTCGCCGACGGCAACCCAAACAAGTCTGAGTTGACGACAGAATCGCCCGCGCGAGTGTCGCCCGATCCGGACGTCGTGCATTGGTGCGTGTCGCACGACCAGCTGAAGTATCGCTGCGAGCTGTGCCACGGCGTGCGAGGGGACTCGCCGCACCCCTGCCCCGTGTATGACGCTCGCGAGGTCGCCCCGGGGTCACCGCCCCGGTACGTCTGCCGCGGCTGCGGCCGGGTGTGGGACGAGGCGTCGCCGCCGGCAACCACGACCGCCGGACGTCTGGCGACTGCCGGAGAGTGTGACCCGCGGGCGACCCCAGCCGACGGCGTCGGACACTGGTGCGTCGTCGGCGGGCAGCTGCAGTACCGCTGCGACACGTGCGGCCGGCTGCGCGGCTCGCGACAGCTGGAGAGCGGCGCGGCGCCCTCTATAACGACCCACCCCGCGCCGGCCAACGTCCACCCGGGGGGTCAGCTTCAGTACAGCCGCGAGGACGGCTCGGGCGTCTCGGGCGAGTCCGACGGCTCAAGCGATGCGACCGACTCGCGGCGCCCCCTACGCGACTCGTCTTCCACGCGGCGCCCCCTACGCGACGCGACGGACGCGGACGCGCGGCGGCTCTCGCTGCCCGTGTCTGACATCTACGACGAGCGGTCGACGCTGCTCGTGTCGTCGTCGTCGTTCGACGCGAGCGACCCCACGCACGCGAGCGTCGCTTCGTGGCGCGGCGCCGACCGCAGGGCCGCCGCAGCCGATGTACGTGCCCACCCCGGCTCAAGCGACGACGGCACGTCGTACGGTTCGACACGGAGCACCGGAGGACATCAAGCGGTCGAGGACCTCGCAGCTGCTCAGCGCAGCGAGGACGACGACATTGGCCTGCGCCTGTGGAGCGACGGCGCAGCAGTAGGCGCAGGCATCGCGTACACCCGCATCTCGCCGCGCTCTGACTCGCCCGTCGACGGACTGTCTCTGACGGAGCGCGTGCGACGCCTGCTCACGAAGACCGCTTACCTCGAGCGCAAGTACGTCGTCGTGGTGACGGACACGAGCAGCAGCAGCGGTGGCGGCTCCGCGCGCAGCAGCCCCGCGCTCCGTTCCCACGACGACGATGATGACTTGCGCGAGCCCGAGTCTGACCGATCGAGTGTCTACGACGCGTCTCGTCGGAGCGCCGAGACGCCCGACGCCGCGTATGGGGTGGCGCCCCCTGGCGACTCGGTGTTGTCGAGGGACGTGGGAGCAATGAGGATGGCGCGCGCCGCGGCGTCCGCAAGCCTGCGTGCACGAGCCGACGCTGACGTGATCGCAGATGAAACCGCGCAGGGAAAGCCCGGCCGCACCCGTGACTTAGCGATTATAGGTGCCGCTAGGGAAGCTACCGAGGATAGCAACAGGAGAAGTGGGATCTACGGTGTTTATACTGGGAGGGAGTCTCCCGTCGACAGCGGCATCACTGCTACCATGCATGCACGAGAGACTGTCCACAGTACCCTGTACTCAGCAGTGGCTGCTGTTAGTCGCCCACACACGGCAGGTGCGTATGCAGGGCAGACGTTCATGCAGACAGAGGGCGCCTCCGACAACATCTTCCGTGACACACGGCGATCGGAACCCGAGGGTATAAGCTTTGCCACGAGAAGCGCTGCCTCCTCTAGCCAGGGGGCGCTGTTCACTGCTGCGACGAGCACAGGCGGCGACGATTCGGCGGGCGGCCTTCGTGCGACGCTAGCTGCTCACGCCCGCCGCATCGACGCGTTGTTGTCTCCGCCTCGTCTTCACGCCTCCACATCGCGCGTCGTCGCTCCCACGGAGAGAGTGGTGCTGTCGCGGCAGACAGTGAGGGCAGGTGTCGCCGCCCCCACGGAGAGAGTGGCGCTGTCGCGGCAGACAGTGAGGGCAGGCGTCGCCGCCCCCACGGAGAGAGTGGCGCTGTTGCGGCAGACAGTGGGGGCTGTTGTCGCCGCCCCCACGGAGAGAGTGGCACTGTCGCGGCAGACAGTGAGGGCAGGTGTCGCCGCCCCCACGGAGAGCGTGGCCCTGTCGCGACAGACAGCAGGTGTAGGCGTCGACGCGAGCGGCGGTCGTCGCACGGCAACGCCCGAGGTATCGCCGGGTGTGCAGTCGTATGAGGAAGCCTTTTGGCAGGGAAGGGTGACTCATAGCCAGTATCTCGAGGAGCTGCACAGTCAGATACTCACGCCTCGCCCGCTCGACACTTCGCTCGCCGGTCGGTCGCGCGAACACACTGAACGCGACTCGTCGACCGAGGACGCGGGGCCCGTTAGGCGGCAGGCTGGACACAAGCGGCCGTCGTCCGGGGCAATGCGGCGAGTCGAGTCGCGCGAACACACCGGGCTGGAGGTCGACTCGTCGACCGAGGACGCGGGGCACGTTAGGCGGCAGGCTGGACACAAGCGGCCGTCGTCTGGGGCAACGCGGCGACCGGAGTCACGCGCCCGACTGCAGGTGCCCGCCCGCGGCGAGTCGCGGAGCTTCAGTTCTGGTTACTGCCTGAGCGACGTGGAGCGGTCCAGCGGCAGCGAGCAATACCGAGAAGCCGATGCAGACGCTTCCGTAGATCGCCGCCACGAGGTTGAACGCGGCCGAGCGCAGGACGGCAGCGGGCGGCGCGTCTCACCGACGGTGGTCCCGGCAGCGGAGGGAGCGGCAGATGCTTCCGTAGATCGCCGCCACGAGGTTGAACGCGGCCGAGCGCAGGACGGCAGCGGGCGGCGCGTCTCACCGACAGTGATCCTGGCAGCGGAGGGGGCGGCAGACGCTTCCGTAGATCGCCGCCACGAGGTTGAACGCGGCCGAGCGCAGGACGGCAGCGGGCAGCGCGTCTCACCGACGGGGGTCCCGGCAGCGGAGGGAGCGGCAGACGGATATCAGCCTGGGAGAGGAGACAGGTAGTCGTTAAACTTTAATCGGTTGAAAAGTGCTGCGAATATACTGTATACGCCATATTTTTCGCGTATGTACAGATATTTTCGCGATTTCAGACTTGACGGACAATTTCGGGAATGGTTAATTTCGCGGTCGGTGAATTATGAGTTATTCGGTATTATTCGGTATAAATTATTCGCGTGTTGTTATTTTCGCAGTCGGGGGACGCGTTCGCGAGATTCACGAAAATTAAACCACCGCAAAATATACAGCGTATACAGTACATCATTGTTTCAGTCCGGTGGCATTTCTTCCATAAACGATTGACTGGAGTGTGTAGCTTTGTAGATACATAGGCATATACCGTGAGTTGATTGACATTTATTTATAGCTTGCTGTATAGATGCAGTATGGCACAGTGAAACAAGTAAGATTATATGGGAAATTAAGTTAATGAATTCCCCAAATCATGAGAATGGGCATCTGTTCCCATCTTTAGCTTTATACTATGGGAAATAATTGACTGTTATTGTGTCCAATTCAATACGATGATTACTGATGAAACAGGATCACAGAGAGCTAAACATCTGCTGCTATGTTATTACAAAGGTAAACAACTTTAATTTGGCAGATTAATCTGATTGGTCTGCGGCAGGCAATTTACGTCAACGACAGAAATTAATAATTTACGTGATCGACTGGCAGGCAGGAACACCTGATTGTGGCAGCAGGTGTTCCTCTCTAGGATGCCAGTTTGTGCTCGATTTGCATTGTTTATGTCCTTCCCTATAGCCAATAATGCAGGTACGCCTCCCCTAGCACTCATCTCAAACTTCGATGGCTTGATTAAATGTAAGAGCACAAACACTATTTGATTATGCGCCAACATAATCAACGTAATTTATATAATATATTTTTATTATTTTTATAATATATTTTCATTTATTTTATTTTTAGCTCATCTGACATAGTCAGATGCAGCTTGTAGAATCGCACGATCGTCCGTCCATCCGTCCGTCCGTCCGTCAACAGTTGGGCACAAATCTTAACCGCTCGATGTACGGTCACGATATTTGGCACATTGGGGGGGATCGTCAAAACGAGTTGGGATGTCGAAGCTGGGGGTCAAAGGTCAAAGGTCAAGAGGTGTAAAAGAAGGAGGAACATTCACTCCTTAACTTAAGGTATAGGGAGGAAATGCAGAATTGCGGCATAAATCTAAACGGCTCGACCTAGGCTCGTGATAGTCGGTGTATAGCATCATGGTAGGAAAAGCCATCACTGTGCTGAAATTGGAGGTCACAGGTCAAAGGTCAATGGGCACAGGGCAGATTTTAGACATTTTCTGACGACATGGTCTGATAGAGCGATTGAAAAACTTTTTTGTTTCAGCGGGGACCTAGCATTTTTATGGCTTTATTGAAAGGACCATGAAATCATGTCAGCAGAAGGGACTGTTTAACCCTCCTCTTGAGGGTCAAAAGGTTATCCGACACTTACTCTTCGATGGATTTGTAGACAGTTAACAAAGGACTGAACTGTTTTTGCTATTGTGGATGTGAGGCTACAGAATTTATCCAGCGACTACAATATCTCACTCCAAGCAAAGTAACCATGCAGTTCCAGTAAACAACATCCGCTAGCTAATCAAATAATTGGAAAACCCATGATTGCAGTTGTATTGTTATAAAGGTAAAGGTTATAAGGTTATAAAAGGTTATAAACGTTGCAACCAATATTAATGGATGGAAAAGAGAAGAAAAAAAGGCCTAATAGTGAGAATTACTCAGAATCCGCACATAATTAGTTTGTTTTTTTAATTAAAATAATATTGCATGTCAATGTTTCAGGTATGTTTCCTACATACCATCACGACTGCGCAAGACGCACAAAGCGTTTAAAACGATAGCTGCACACAACAACTGCATGTATGCAAGTCTGTCGATGTGCCTGTGGGGCCATCAGGGAAAAAGTTTTTTTCTGAGATTGGCCGGCATGGTCAGTGGTGCTGCCCAAGTTGAAGAACACGTGGCAAAGGTAAATTAAGCAAATTTCTTATTTAACATGTATGAAGAAATATGTTCTTTCTAAGTACTTTAATGGCATTGTTCCCATGTCATTGACTATAAGCAATTTTAGATGTTAATTACCTGTTTTGCATCAGGTGTTGGAACAACACACGACAACGGAAGATATTAGGCTCTGGGCGTTTGAAGCCACAACAGATGTGGTGATGGAGGGCCTCAATTTTGAGACCTCGAGTCCAGAGTCCTTGATAACGAACGTTATCAAGGAAGAGCTTTTCCAAACAGCTCGCAACAGCGACTCTGGTATTCTTACTTTTTCACAATCAACAGCTATGTAGTGCTTAGTGAATTAATTGTTGACCATGTTGACGTAAATGATATGAGTAGATAATAACACAGGAGTTAAATTAGGATTTTCATGCGTTT